CACTTTTTTCCATAATCTCTCGTATTCTTCAATCAAATGAAATGGAACAAGAGAAGGGACCAATTGAGTTATATCAGGCTCAGAAATATTCCTCTTCATGGAAGCTTTTGGGTTTCTCGACGCTAGCAAATTATTTTCAAATGCAATCAACGTGAAGAATCAAAAAGTTCTATATCTGGCGTGTTTTCCTAGATTTTCTTCCCCTTTACAAGATATCAAACGTGTAAAAGTTTTACCATTTCGTTTTGGGGCATATCAAACGGAGAAATATTCATTTTTTCGCCGAGAAATGTAACATTTTTATACTTTCTCTCTCTCACTCCACTTCTCATTGTCTGTAGAAGAATTTAATTTGTTTCCAACTCATGGATATTTCTGCTAGCGTCTTCCCTCATGTTTCAGTAATAAATACGTGTGTTTATGTGGCTCAATTTTCCCTTAGCATTCCACACATACTCCATCCCCTTGCTCTCTCTCTGGGTTTTCCTCCAGTCCCCTTGAGAAGGGCCCCGAACAGCCCCCAACCCTCAGCGTGACTTCCTTCAGCGGATGGGAGTAATAATTTTCTGCAATATTCCGCTGGATGAATGTCTTTTTCCCGCCGCGGGAATTTATTTAAATTATTGCTTTGTAACTTTGTCAGTTTGCCAGATACGCAACACGCTGAGTATTTTGCCTTTTCATACTCCCCAAACAAGGATGTGCGAATTCAATGATGCCACCCCCAAACAGGTGAAGAGTGGGAGGCAAATTTCGAACTCCATCTCATTCTCATTCCAAAACTGCTGAATCTGCTCAGTATCTTCACAAACATTACACATTAAATGTGTTCCATTTATTTATGACTTGATTCACACAGCGAATGGGATTGAAGAGAGCGCGTCGCGAAGGTTGAGAATCCCGCATCCTGTCTTTGAACTTGTCATCATTGTTGTGTGATATATCAACTCACCTTGATGCCTCTCCGAGGCTCATCCTCAGCAGACGTGCACAGATGAAGGGTTCGGATGCTGTCACTGGAGTGAGAACTCGATTGGATGAAGGAGGTATGCACATGCGAAGGAATTTGCTAGATATGTGACAAAATACCAGAAATTATCATCTCTAGGAAGGGAATCGAAAATGCAGAATGTGTAAATTACAGTGAAAATTACTGATGAGGACTTTAAATTTGATTGCCCGAAGCCATTTGGCAGTTTAATGAAATGTTGAATAATTTTGTGAAACTTCCTCATTAAGGGTTGATTTATATAATTTGAGTAGGTACAGAATATTTGAAGATTCACAAAACCCATAAACGTTAACAGTTCAAAAAAGTTCAAATATACAAAAAAATTTCTCGAAGATTCTTCGTAACAATTATTCGAATGAGGATATAAATAAAATCATATACTGTTTTTTTAATTACACATTCGTAAATTTTTATATCTTAAAGTGTTTGCCAAAAAGAACAGGGTTTTTAAAAAATGTTTATTAAAAAAAAAATAGTCAAGATACTTTCATGTGAAATTGAGAACAAAGTGATCTGAAATTGAAACTTTCATAGCAAAATATCTCTATGGAAGCATATGATTTATAAATATTTAATAAATACTTTCGATTTCGGAGAAGAAGTGATTTAGAAGAGAAACTACCCCTCAGATGAGGCTGATACCTTTTCATTCAGAGTAAATGAGGGAATATTTTTTATTCGTTAATATCATCTGTGCTCTTGCTGCTTTTGTTCGATTGTCAAGGAAGTGAAAGAGAACCTTCAATTCCTCGAGATGCTGACAGTTGTGAAGAAATTCGTCAAGGTAAATTGAATCTTCATCATGTCCTCATTAAGGAAGCTCCGTAGCCACTCATCTCGAAATGACGGAGAGGAAGTGTGGGTGAGACTGTGAAATGTGATATGAATGGAGGTGAGAATGTTTTCATTAAAAGCCATAAATTGAATAGAATTTTCGATCAAGGAGCTTGATTAACATTTTACACTTTTAATTCCATTATGCCAAGGGAAAATAAGCATTCGGGCACATGTGAGGCAGAGGCTCATGATGGCAAGTAGCCTCTGTTTATCGTCAGCGCTAAATTGTAAACAAATTGATTGGAAGTGCGGGAACTCTCCTAAAATTATTATCATTAGACATAAATTGTCTTCACCGCCTCTTATGGCACAAAATACATCCCAAAAATTGGGGGGTGGATCAATTTTTCCGGCCCACACACGTGAGATTATGAAAATGAAGTGGAAAATATAGTTGAGGGGCGGGGGCAGAAAATAGAATTAAAATTGGTATGTGGCATTAGATGGGAGTTAGTTTAACGCTACGTCGCTCAAAATGATTTAATTGAATTACCGGCTAATCTCACTCAACTTGTAATATAATTACAATTTATCTACCATGGAATATTTACTTAGTTTCTCTGGTCATTCGGTGACACATTATAGAATTTGCTGTCTGCAACAAAAGGGAGAATTGCTATTGTGGCGTGTTCCTTGGTGAACTTCTAAGGAAAACCTGGCTAAATTCCGGCTCATTCTTCCCAAAGAAGCTTTGAACAGAGTGTTTTTTTCAACCGTGCGCCACGCAAAGTGCAAATACGAAATGGGAGGGGCTCCATTTGTACTGAGAGTTGGAAATATCATTTAAAATGTACGGTAAACTTGGGGCGGAGTCTTTCATCGGTCGCGAGTTTTCTCCTGTGTACACAAAGCTCGTGTCTCGGTTTTTTACTCCATTTTCTTGGTCAGTTCCCTTTTTACTGCACCCTTTTCTCTCACTCCCAATGTTTATTCTTGTGTGATTCTTTTGGTCTTCCTGGGAAATGCTCGGCCAGTTTGACCCCACATTGCATGTTCAGGGGCACGTCCATCCATAAATTGCCATTCGGATGCAATAAATTGTGCATATACGGGAGTCGCAGTGCATTAGTTGAACTACCATTTTGAAAAAAAAAGAAAGAAGGAAAGCATGAATAATTAATTAAGTCTTCGAGAGACGTCCCCAGACATTTGCGTCATATTGGGAGAGTCGCCCCGCGCTGTGATGGCCAGAGAAAATAAATACACGCTGGAATTATATCTAAGATGCGATAAAAAATAACACATTTCAATTAATTTATCAAACACGTCGACAGGTTTAGCCCGCTTTGCATATTCATGTGCCAATGGGTCGAGAAATGTAAATTGCACTTCATGTGCTCCACTTTGCCTCTCGAAGTGGTTGAAGGATATTAAGATTTTTCACGACAGCGACAATTTATGTACACTCTGAAAAACTCTTTTCAAGTTCTCGCCTGCTTTGTCCACACTTTCTGGCTAGGCTAACTGAGTTGGATCACACAGAAGTTGATGAAAAATTCAGTAAAGAATATTTTTGGTGTCAATTTCCACAAACTTGCGCCATCACTAATATTTTGACTGGCAAAATACCGTTGAATTTATCGGATTACATAAGATTTCAGAGGTTCTTAATTGTTAATACATATCTTACCTGAAAACAATTCATCTAAATCGATGAAACTAGAAAGATGTTTCTGGTTTCATCCTAAAACATTTTTTAAACCTTAATTTCAAGATTCAATATGAGTTCTATGCCATTCTTTCATTTTGTTAGATGATTTTTCTCCTTCCACACAGAGAAATTCTTTTCTCATATTCAGAGATTTGTGGTAACAAGTTTGTCGATTATTTCACCCTCGCATTGTGCATAGTCAAATCCCCTTATTGTGCGCTTCTTTGCCCCAGCAGACAGGATGCTGTAGCCCTAATGGATTTCCCAGGCAGTTCCTGGGAGAAAGGGTGCGAGGGAGATAAGATTAAGACCCGAGAGTGGCGTCGCAGAAGCAACAGTGGAAAGTCAGATGATGGAGCAACCCTTTCGTCTTCTGCGCCCCGAACTTCCTTGCGCTCTACCACCATTGGCAAGAGATTAAGGAATCAAACATTAGAGACGCTGATGGACTGTGAATTGAATGCAAATGAAATCAAAATGGGTATTAGGCAATTTAATTGGCATTGTCGAAGGGTGGGAGTTTGTGTTTCGCATAAAATTTTGGTGTTTAGTATGGAAATAAAATATTTTTCTCTTGATCGTCGTCTTGAGACATCCTGTGCTGGTCTGAGATGGGCCATTGAGAGGAAATTGCGACGAGATGGGCGTCACTTTCTCACAAAAGGCAGATGCTGATAGACGTGTGGAAATTGAGTAATTGCCTTCCTGTGTGGCTCTATCCACCCTCAAGTGCGATTGTCTTATCGCCATGCAATAGAATGCCTCCTCAGACATTCTGATTACCATCGCATAATTGTGCAAGTGTGTAAAATTGACCACATTTGTCTTCACTCTGGAGAACAGCTATATTTTGTCTTGCACGTCTCTATTATAGTCCAGGATGCAAATATCCTGGCAAAAGTGGCCTATAAATATTAGCCGATTGTCTGGGGTGCTTCGTGCCACTGCCTCATAATTCACACATTTGTCAGAAGGTGTAGACACACCGCCTTGCGGCCAGCACGGTGAATTACATGGTGAGATCCACCTGTCCGCGCGGATCGTGAAATTCTATACAAATACATCCGAACATCTTTTCATTACTCAATTAATGAACACTCTACAATTTTCGGTTCGCACTTCAGCATCTTGAAAAACAATTAATATATTGAATTACAGACCTAATTAAAGTGTCACGAAACGTACGAGAAAAAGAAGAAAAAAATTGCTTGTGGTAAATAAAGAAACATTTTTATGATGATTTAATTGAATTTGCATAAATTTGAGTTGAAAAAATTCAATAGAGTGAATTAATTGATGTGGGGTTTCTTAATTCACGCACAATGAGGGTGCTAATTAAATGACACAATGCCCATTTCCAAACCGCAAAATGCTGCAAACACTGTGGTTTCTGCCATCTGAAACTGAAAAGACCATTCAAATTGACACCATTTGCCAACATTTCGGCGTGCAGCCATATTCGAAAAAAGGCATCATAATAATAGGTTCACCTTCTTAGCATAAAATTTCTCTTTATTCTTTCAAATATTTCTATATTAATTTATCATGTTTATGTATGACGTTATAATTATCTTTATTATAACTAGTAAAACATACATTCATTGAAGAGGTCCTCTTTAGGTGCCTCTTATACTTTTTTTCTCTTCCCTTTTTGTACATTTCGACTGAATTAATCTTCTTATATTTTCACTTTTTTCTTCACATAAGAGTGATTTTTTCATGGCTCTCGCTTCGCATGAATATTCCTTTTCTTCGGTCTTTCTCATACATACTGGTGACCATTGTAAATTGAGAAAAAATGGGAATTGCAATTAGATATGATCACGTTTATTAGAGGGAACACGAGAAAAAAGAACGACCACAGAGCTTTTAGACACAAAATACTCAAAAAGACCAATGAAATATTGTGAGGAAAAACAGAGGAGAGAAAAGAACACCAATCAAATAATGATAAATTACACCAATATTAAACGTAGAAATGCTCTAAAAATTAATTTGATTGTTAATTTGCTTTACAAACCGAAAACAAGAACACCTTGTTAGTAAATTCTGCAGTGACTTCCTCTCTTTTTTCTTCACCATTTCCTCTTCCTAAATCTTTTGTGTATTTTACAGTAAATAGAAAAAGAGGCAAAAAATGTTTACTTTCAATTCATTGCAGTCGCAAGTTTTGAATATCTCGTATTAGTTGTTTTTTTTTTAGTTATTTCTATAGACATGTAACAATTAATTTTAATAATGGTACAATTAATTAGTCAAATTTGTTTTAATCATGTCGCAATTATTTCTCTTGTAAGTTCATCTCCACCTATTATTTAAAGTTTCGTGAGAAAAATCTTCTATGTTACACTTTTATTATTCGTTTTACATGCCTCATTAAATTGCCTTTTCCTCGCCCTATAATTTACAGGGACTGGGAAAAATGCATGTCAAATACTTGTAGATTTTCCCTTAAGTTTCTATTTTATATTTATGTTTTTGATGGTTTTCAATTATTGGTGTGTATCAAAGGGACTATTTTCGTCAAAGAAGATTTACACTTCATTCCCGAGATTATCGCGGAAACTACTTCGAAGTTTTGCATTCCCCACCCTTTTGTCCCCTTTCTATACGCTACAGAATTTTTTTTCTTGTTAAATAAATTGTACGCCTATACAACTACATCACTAAACCTTCCTTTCGCTTGATCGCTTTTCAATTTACCTTTACACTCGCCTCTCATTTTTTAATTATATCGTAAAGAAGATTAAAATATGGCAACCAATAAATTGTTCTAATGTATAAAAGAATCAGTGTATTTGTTATTCTTCTTAATTAATACATATGAATCTCATTATTTCGTTATTTTCTCTCTTGTATAGTTTTATTTTCAGTGTTGAGAAAGTATTGATGCAGTGATAAATAATTTCACCTTCACATATCTTTTCATACCTTTTTACAGGAGCCTTAATTGTCATAGTTTCTATGTCTAGCAAAATAAATTATTATATATGATTTTCACTAATCACTAGTTTTATCATATTTCCTCATAATGCTTTAATGTTTTTCTCGATATTTTATTTTAATCAATATTGACTATTTTAATGATCGTGTGTGTGTGTGCTTTCCTAATTCTATTTTTTTTTAATTAATTTCATTATTAATTACTTCATCATAGTGAATATTTGAGGATCTCAAAACTAACTTTATAATAGTCAGTAAGACTGTATCTAATCATATTTACAAGCTTAATTCCTTTTATACAAAGAGCATCATCTTTTGAACAAAGACAAGATCTATCCTGAAGGTGTGTGTGTGATAATTAATATTGTCAATCAAAAAAAAATCAAACAAAAAGTCTCAAAAAATTCACACAAAATGTACTCTACAAAGTAATTTCAATTTCTTCGACTGAAACGAAAAAAAACCATTTAAGTTCATCATTCCTTATTTTAATGTTGTGCTTTATCACATGGAAATTAATTTCAAATTTGCATTCAAAATCCAATTGAATTTTACTCCGTCTTATAAATGAATTTATTTATCAACAACTTGATTGCACTTTCAATTTGTTCTCTCAGTTTATTTTATTTCTCTGACTTTGAGAGATCTAAAAAAATGCTAATATGTTCAACATAAAACATGCTGTCGAAATTACAAGCTCTCTCGCCACGCAATATAGTTCAATAAAAATTATTCACATTTTTTGCTACAGTCACAGAGGAGATAAGTAACAAATTGATTAAAATGTTTTCAGTGTGAGACTTCGCAAAAATCGACGATGTCAAGTATATAACATAACTTCTCTATTGATCAAGTGTGTTCAGGAGTTTGATTGTACAGTGGGCAAATTACCTTCATTGATCTTTCGATTGGGTACTTGATGAAGTGGCTTGCTCGCATGACTAAGTGGCACTGCTGAATAGTATGGAATTCTTGTAATAATTGGGACGATCTTGCAATGGACTCTTCACGTCTCTATCGCCAGACTGCTGTCTTGCCTTGCGCTCAATTTCCAGCTCCTGAGCCAGGGATTCTGAGGAAGAGAGAAAAGCGTATTTGGTTGTCAAAAGATTGATCAAAAGTAGTTCAAATGATGAACAATGGAAATTTACCAGAGTTCTGACAAAATTTTATAATATTTTCATAATACTTTTTTTTAAATTTTTTCTGAAAACTTTCATATAAAACACTACATTAAGTAATGTAGATGAAAATGACTTTTTATTTATTATTCACAGACTGTATGATTAGTAATTTTGTTTGTGAATTCATGTAAAATTACACACTCAATTGTGTCGCATTTCACTCACCCAAAAAAAGAGCAAGCACACAACACGCGGTGAATCTTTTCGTATTAAAACCACTCTTAAGGCACGAGTGGGCGGCGGGAGAGTCTACAAAATTTTTCCTTGGATGGAGAGAAGCAAATTGAGTGAAGGAGTGGAAATCCCTTTTAATATTTATATTTTCATTCATATGCATATGACTGTTTGGAGGAATTTCACTCTTTTTTCCTCCTCCTTGAGTGGTAGAAAAAAAATTCATTTGCAATAAAGTTAAATTTAACAACTCACGAGATTATCGTACAATATTTTTGTACCATCTCTCCAACCCCCGCTTTTTTTCTATACTTCTTATTTCAAACACTCTCCGGATTTTCCACCAGTCTCTCATGTAAGTTGCCAAAGTGGTGCGCGGAGGGAAAAAAGAAGGCAAAGATGCGAGAAAATTGTAATTTTCTTGAGTTGTCTCATGTAAGAAGTTTCTTATTCTCAAGAGATGAAAATTGAAATTTCAACCTGGGAGAGAGTGTGTATATGTATGTATATGGGAAACATTTTTTCCGCGCGATGTTCCAAAGCAGAGAAACTTCATTAAATGGCGAAATTGGTTTGGGAGTGATTAAATAATTCAGTTGAAACATTCAAAAATCTACACTGCCAGAGGCTTGAGGGTGGCTCGGGTGGGCGCAAGGGAGATGTGGGAGTAAAAGAGACGTGAGATATCATAATGTAATTGGTATTATTTGAAACATCTGTTACCACAAGCTGCAGACGGAAATTGTGGCGTCTACCTGAGCAGGAGCCTCGCATTGGGGGCGAAGATGCAAGGAGTTTTCTGTCTTAGGCCAGAAATGGCACCGAGTGTCGTCGGATGATGAGAAAAATTCCCTGTATCAATCGAGGTGTATTTTTTAATAATGTTGGTTCTTGATACACTGCATAATGCTGTACAAATGATCAGCATTCGCTTTGGAGGAGGGGGAATTAGACTTTTTGTGTGATTGCTGAGATATATTAAACCATTTTGGCTGGTCAGTAATTATTAAATTGAGACTCTCTATTCAACAATTCATACATGTGAGACTTTGCAAAATTTAAACCCCTTTCAATTCATTTACTCTCTCTCCCTCTCTGTCTCTCACTCACTCCTTCTCTTTTTCTCACTCTAGAGAAGGTTTTAGGCGGGGAGTGGCTTGACTTAATAAATAGTTCAACTCATAAATGAGTGAAGTTGGTCTTGTGAGTACTGAAACGTGGAAAACCATTGAAATAATTCACCTTCTTATTAGTCAGTTATGACTCGTTTACAAATTCCTTCAATATATTAATACAACCCACACACTTGTCTGTGTAGGCAGATGAAAAGGGATGAAACTGGAGAAAACGCAACAACAGGAAGTTTTCCAAGTCCCACGGGAAAGTCCCTCGATAAACTATGTAATTGCAAATGTATAGAGTATTCTCTATTTCCCACAGGAAGAGAGGCAAAGAGGAATAAATTTAGGCTGAGGCAAAATGGGATGCTGCGAAAAATTATAATATAAGTTTGATAAAGACAGAGCGAGAGAGAATTTTTCCATTTTGCTAACCCAATTTGCAGCTTAAATTCAACAATAATATTACTACGAGCATTCCCCCTTTTTCTTATCCATTTCTTCACCTCGCATAAATACCAAATCCCAGAGAAAGCCCTCAAAATGCGTGTATAACTTTCCTCTTAAGTGACTCTCAACGCTACCCACTTAAATAAAATATATAGTATGAAGTGATGCAGAGAGTTTTCCACACCAAAAATCATCCCCAGCCAAAGTCATCTACCTCTCAATCTAATTCGAGTCGTCATAGACATTATGATGAGATTACTAGCCTGAGGCTGTGTCATTTAAATGTACATTTCTAACTCGATGAATTTTGCATGGTGTTGCGAACACCTCGGTCTCATTCATTTCATTATAAATGCTGTGTGTTTCTCATCTCTGGTTCCATTTTCAACTGTACCGACAAGCCGTATATATAAATATATATATATAAATTTACATGAAAATACATGACAACAAAGTGACTGCGGGAAAATACTCCTCTAGCCAATGAGATACCCAATGAAATTGGGTATATGATGAGACATGAAAGAAAGTTGGAGGATTTTGCTAACACACCTTCAGGCTGAAGTTAGACAACAGCACACAGAAGAAGAAAAATTCACTCCTCAAAAGAGAGGAGCGAAAGAAAAGAATCATTTTCTGTGTGCCTCGCCCCGCAAAAAACATGAATATCCCAACGAATGTAATTTAAAAATAATTATTCGCTTAGTTAAACCAACTTTGCGATATACTTTAAGTATTATTTAGAATATAAACGCTTTCTACAGTGAATATTTATATTATTTCATAATCCTATTTGCTCCATTCTCTTGCCACCCTAGCAGGGATGGTAAAACCTCACCCTTGACAGTGGGATTTTATTTCACTGCAGGGCACAAGGCAGCATTGGGGTGGGATTGACAGAGAAAATGGAATAAATTTTAGAAGAAATACAGAGCAAGAGAGTAGAGGATTGGTAATTCGGCAATTTTCATGTAAAGGGTTAATTTAAATACTGTTTCATGGCTTGTATTATAATTTTTTTTTTTTTTAGAATTGTAAGCATACTTTTGATAATACTTGTGATCTTTTTGGGTGAAAGTCACACAACTTTAAAATTCTAAGCATTGATATTCATGAAATAAACTGACCTGTGTAATTTTGCCAAAAAGCTCCTGTGGCCATCATATCCAGGTTCGAGTAGTTCCAGGGCTTCCCTTCATTCGGTGCTGGGTTCTGGGGTGCCGACGAGGGATCTGCCCGATTTGGTGGAGCATAGGGGCTCTCAGCTCTCCTCTCGGACGACGCGGACCTCCTTTCGCGCCTCTCGCTGTTTACATTCTCTAGGAAGATAGGCAAAAGCAAAATTACACTCTCACTAAGTCGCCCTCAGTCATCATCTCAGGCTGGGGAAGTGAAGAAAAGATTCCGGTTGTGAAAGTGATATTTTGACCAATGTCTGCTTCTGACAAATATCAAATTAATATTCTCTCACACTCCATTGAACTCATGCCGTGATCATAGGCAGGTTAATGGGAGTCGCGAGGCGCAAATGAAAAGAGCAAGAAATTGAAATTGAAATGAAGATTGGCTCCTCTCAACCACGCGTTCAACCCCATCAGATGGGGAAAAAGGAGGCAGACATATCGCCGACGGCAATTTCTCTGTCAGAAGCACAAGAAGAGCATACACTATCAATGCGTCCACCTTTGTGGCAACCCCTTTCACAGGACGCGCGGAGTCTTTTTCCAACGTGTCTGCAGTTCACTAAAGGGAATCATGAGAAAAATATCTCACCGGAGATGAGTCTGAGAGCTTCTGCAGGAGCACCGGAAGCCTTTATCGCATCCTCCAGTTGCGCACGTCTCTTCATCTCCATGTCCAACTGCTGTTGCAATCGTATTCTGGCTCTCTTCTCCTTCTTGAAGCGCTTCTGATAAATGGCTGCAATTAATCACAAGAAAATTGCTCTATTAATTTCTCTCACCATTTCCATCAGACTTTTCTTCTCTCATAAGCATCTTATATCGCGCGGTGCGAATTTGATGAAATTATTTTAAAATTTATGTGTGACTGTTGCCCTACATGTTCACGAGATGAGCATCTATTTCGCCCAAAGTCTCTATCTCTCTCTCTTTATTTCTGCAATTAATCTTGCTCGCCTTCCTGCCCTCATTCCACGGGTTGAAACAGAAAAATGGGAATAGTGAAGTGGCCTCCCAGCCCGTCCACCCAATTTGTACGGAATATACATAAATTCCATTTCGCCCGCATTGTTTAATGATAATCGAGTTGGTTGTGTTGTGCATTCATAATACAATGGTTTCACCACCCAAAAACAACAGTGCAACAACATATTTTATCAATAAATCATAAAATGCAAAAGCAATTCACTTCGTGTAATTGCAACTTTATCACATTTTGTGCTGTGTGTCCCATAAATGCATAGCCATTTCCCCAATCGTTCATCCCCCAATTCCACATTGTCTCTCACTCGTTCCAGTCACTGAATTATTTTCGGTCATGGGGATGCGACTGCTGCATTACAACCAGGGGTGGAAATCTCAGCGTGATTTTCCAATGGTGTCCGCATTGAGTGTACCACTTTCCCATGCATCCGGGTGGACATTCATTGTTTCACCATTGGTGGTTCAAATGGGGGTCAATAAATACAGAAATAACATCAGTGGTGGACACCAGTTCATTTCCAGAGGACCCTCTCGCTCCCACTCGAGTCTCGACTTGTGTACTTTGCCATGTGAGTGACCAACAAATGAACAGGCAGAGAGCCTCTCGACCAAATGTTGGGGGGTTTGTTGATGATGATGACACTCAATTTGATGAGGACACTCCAGTGACAATTTCCACGTCTCTCGCACGCCCACGAGACGAAATAATAAAGCAAGAGTTACACGCATGTGTTGAATGCAAATTTACCTCATCTCCAATCGGCCTATCGGCCCAAATATTTATGTATACGATTTTCCGACATGAGTGTGTATTGAAGTGATTTTATCAGGTCGATCGAAAAGTTCTCGAGTATTCTGTAGTGTAGTAGAATTCTATATGCTTGTTCTAAAGCACAACAATATATTTTACACGAATCTACGAATACAATCTTTATTTATTGGTTTTTAGAAAAAAAAAATAAAAACGACACAATAAAAAATCGATTCAGTGACAGTAAATGAAGGAAAAAAAAATGGTAATGAATGAATTCAACATAGGGTTGTGAAGTAGGGGTGGGTGTGTGCAAAATTACTGGTATATGCAATACATATATTCCTCGGTTGGATGGGAGTAATCCAACCGCAAATAGCAATAAGAAGTAGAGTTATTAATTTCCACGTCGGCCAATAGGCACAATCAAAGAAGTTACATTATGTAAAGAAAGGGTGAGAAGTTGGCATGAAGAATCCCAATAAAACCGTTTGTCGGTCTATTAATCGAGAGATCAAATATTTATATTCAAAACAATTAATACTTCAAGCCTTTATAGTCACTTTTTGTAGGTGGTTTTTAGCTCTTTTCGTTCAGATTGAAAATCACACATCATTTTACACACACAACAGAGTGCGGAGAGAGGCTCGCTTTTTATTTATTGATGTGCTGTGGCGTTAAAGTGGAAGATTTCAGCGGATTGTCTGTGCGGTTGTAGGAGGTGAAGAGCACGCGAGGGCCAAACAAAAAGAAGCAATAATGGTTTTGGAAAAGAAGGCGCATTCAATGATGATTGTGCAAAGTTGAAAGGATTCTCCTGCCGAATGATTCCCGGTCTAATTGATTTCATTTTCATTCTTTGCCTTCACTCCCCAATATAATTCTCTCAGAAATTCATCCGCGATTCGATTTCAATTTCCACGCATTTCAATTGGTATAACATTTTTACAAAGTGTTCCATTATTCGTGCGAGGTGCTCTTATGGGGGCAATCGATTCGGCATTTTGTTATGTGTACTTAGGCTCCCGCCACCTGCTGTTTTCCTCCTCTTGTATGAGGCCTGTGGATGATCTGTTGTGTGTTTTTCCTATCCACGCGAGGCCTCAAGAGTTCTCTGGAACCCCACCATGTGGTCATATTTTCTCCACCGCAAGAAGCATTCGAAATCGCCAACGGTCAATCGCCACTTGGAGAGAGAGAATCAAACAATCGCCCTCAATCGCCACTATTGTGATTAATTGTTTACCTCATCTGCAGTACAAATGAGTCAATCTGCGTGATTTACTCATATTACCCAGACTTTATCGAGATTTATTGTAATTGGAAATCATACAATCATGCGTATGTACATACATATATACTTTTCACTATGAGGAGAACTCCCTTTGCTCTCATTGGAAGAATAATACAATAATTACATTCCTCTCTATCTCCATCGCGATGGGAAATTGAGCAATATTTTGTGGGTGGAATTACAAATTTATATAACCATAGAGATGGTATTGTATAGTATCATCCAAATCGCGCGAACTGTTGTTTTTAATTATTGTTTATTAATCACTCTAATCTAAATCCTTTTGACTTGTTTTTACCAATTTTATACCACGACCAAGTGATATTTGATTGCATACTGCAGCTGAAATATGCAATCTATCGCCAATGGGGCATGTAAAGTTCCGTCTTGGCAATGCGCGGATTTTCCATCGCGAATCACGGCAAAATCATTTGCAATATTAATCTAAGAAATAGCAACAAAGAACACGAGAGAGAAACCTTTTGACACTAATTATTATTTGTCTTTTAAATGGAATTTGTGGTACGCCTATAATTTCATGACTCATTTTACATTCCCTAAGCCCAGAACCTTTTGGTATATGTACATCATCGACATAAGAAGCAATCCTCCTTTCCTTGGGTCATGGAACAATGGCAGCCATTTTTCACCGATAAAAGGAAGGCATACACACACTATCAGAAAACCCGAGCAAAGAAAGACCTGGCAATCTGAACGTTGCCATTATTGCATGGTGCAAAATTGCAATCACAAGCAGCGCGATGTTCCTCAATCAAATCTCTCATGGCGATGAACAGAGCGCAGAATGAAATCTCTTTGGGATTTAATGCCAACTATAATTTAATGGTAACTCATCATCATTGGATCATACAACACATAACATCGCAGACTCGCAAAGATGAAGAGCAACAATCAATGGCCACCGGCGCTCCATCGAATACTGTGCGTGTTTTTCTTTTGCCATTTTATGTGTAAACCCCTGTTTCTTGCCTCGCACTGCGTATTTAGTTGATCGTGCGACGAAAAAAAATGTCTGTGATCATCTTCAAGCGATATTATATGCCATTCCTCTGGCCACACGAATAAATCACAATCGGATGTGAGACAGTTCTTGAGTGCAAAAAACCCGCGCCTATCGAATGAGGGCGGTTAAAAATGGATGGATGTGATCGGCAGTGCCCTCAAGTGTCGTTCATGCAAATTGCACAGGGTATTAGTGACTCGCGAATTCGGTTCAGTTTCCAAAATTCATGGAAAAGTACCTAAGATTTGGAGGGTTCTTGCGTTTAAAAGAATCGATATACACCAAAAGAGGTTTCAAATACCGACAGATTTATTGATCCTTATTTGATAAGAAACAAGGAGTCAATAAAGAACAAAAATAATAATTCAAATTCATGTCTAAAAGTTTATTTCAATTTCATAAAACCGAATCATTGATTTTGCTTTAATCAATCTTATTTCGTAAATCATATCTCTTCTTAAAATAATTGAAAAGATTTGAGATAATTTGACTGATATAATTATTTATATATGTTGAAATTATTAAAAGTAAGATCAAATTTCAAATAACAAAATGGTGACTTTATATCAATTTCTTTTCCAAGAATATGCTTTCTTTCGATATTAATTGTTTCTGAAATGAATATTATACACAGTGCGAATATTCTTAATATAAGTATAAACTGAAAAGAAAAACAATACATACATATGTATGTATTGAGAAAACGTGAAATTTAATAACACTGGATGCTTTCTGCACTGGCCGAAAACCCTCCCCATTTTGCATCATTTCATCACGCACTGTCGATCCATGGGAACCATCCCTCCCTAAAAAAGCCTTATGAAGATATATTGAGGAGGTTCCACGGCCCATTGATTGATACACTCGTCGCAATTTTGATTGCTTTTCTTCATCTCATCGGCGAATCTCACACGTATGATGCACTTTTGTGTGGCTCAGTATCTTTCATTTCGTCAATATGTAAAATGTTCTTAATGTCTGCCTAGTCAACACGGCCTCCAAAAAGGTATTCAAGTCCAAAGGAGTGAAAGAGAGAAAAGAAATGAGAGGCCATAATAATAAATAATGATACGTTACGGTTGCATATTTTTGCAATATGAATCGATATTTCTTCGTTGTACATCTTTTGCATTGAATGGCCGCGATTTGATGAATCTCAACTCTTCCATCATCTTCTTGCCATTCGATCGGCGATACATAGCAGCGCGGCTTTTCCCCTGCCCAAAATGATTGATTTTTCATCACATACTTTGGCCATTTATCGAACCTGCCTTTTGCAATTATCTTCGAGTGAAACGGCGCGGTGCAAATGGGGAAATGGATGCACGATGTATAAGTTTTTCATGTCGATTGGCAAAGGCATACATAGAGAGAGTCAAATGGGCGAAAGAGAGACACTGTGGCATTTGGAATTGGGATGGCAGCTGCATGGGGAAGTGCACAGGAGAGCTTTTTCGGGTGCCCCAACAGAAGGCAGAATTTTGCGCGCAATCGCAATATTGAGATCCCCCGGTTGTACATGGGTAGAGCAGAAAACGATTGAGACAAAACTTGAAGAGGTGGAGCCCCACATAATCTCCACCAGTTCGTTCTGTTCTGTGTCGAATCGTACATAAGCACAGGGTTACATAATGTGTATTACGATAGGAGAGTATTTGAAGCGCGACACAAGGAAAAGCACCCAAC